AAGTATCTCTTGATTCAAATCACTTTTTACATTTTGGCGCGAATAGTAGCGCGTTTTAAGTGGCGCCACTATTCGCGCCAAAATGCGAAAAGTGATTTGAATCAAGAGATACTTTGCTGCCCGTCGATTCACATACTAGGCTCTTCAGAAAAAGAATTTGGACCGATTCTGTTCCCCGTATAAAAAGTCGATTTTGCGCTAATGCTTATTAACACTGATCCTCTGTTAGAAGGATCTATAAACAATATAAAGAATGCGAAGGATTGGGAAGGAATCGACGAAAAAGAAGATGAAGATGAGGATGATGATATCAATATAGAACCAGACAATAACATTGAATAACTCTCACTAAATACAAATATCGTCAACAGTACTTGAATAGAATGTTTGATAGACATTAAAAATGTTATTTTTCTGTATAAATCAGTTGCTATCCATATAAAATACATAAATTTGAAAAATTTATGTCGTTCTCACATATCTTCTTCTAACCTTTTCATGAATCCAGTACAATGATCTGTTACTAATACTATACCATTATATAGCTTATAGTGTCCTCTAGCAAACATCCGAGCATAATCCGAGGGTAATAAAATAACAGAAAACAGTTTCAGGAGAAGTGATCAAACAAACTCTCCCTCAGTCTGAATTTGAGACCAAAGGACTATAGCATTGAGTCATGTGCAGTTTTTAAACGTAAAACTAAAAGGATTGATGTGTGAATGGTAGGAGATAAATGTCTTTTTCCATACATAATACCCATTTTCTACTTATTTTTACAAAAAATTAAAACGTTTTTTACTCTATTAATATGAACAGATAAAGACAAAAAAGCATGCCACTAAATGTAACTTTCAATGCTCTATTCAACCATATGTGGATTGTTGCATTTGATCAGTGGATCAAACCTGGGATAAAAATCAGTGAAAGACGGGCTTCAAATACAGTACTTGTCATAAAATGCGTGTAAAATCATAAAAAGCCATCTCAAAGAGCTCATCGACGTCTCATTTGGTAGAAAAATGTTTGTTCTGCATCTGTGCTGACTCAAAAGTTTGTATATCCAGATCTTTGAGATTTGTATCAAAATTTAGAAAAGTAAGAAAATAATGAAACCTATGCCTGTCTCCAATATTTGATTTACCGTACATCACCCTAGTATTTAAAAATTTTCTATTACATATAAATCGATGTAGAATCGCCTACTTTAAAAAATGAAGTGTAGCTTAGTTTGGGACCGCCATATGCACGGCCTGTATTTAAAAAGTACTGAGAAAAATGCAACAGTAATTGACGATGCGAACAATGTCAGATGGTGGATTAAATTATGTGAGTACGAAAAGGCAAGGGGTATTAAATAGTAAGAAAATAATTTATATCTATTTTTGGTATCATACAAAACGTTTCATACTTTCAGTCACACATATTACTAACGCCGAAAAGATATGATGAAATATTCCATTATCCTATCTATCGTTGGTTTCTGTCTAATGACATATTGCAAAGCTGGTCCAGTACCATTCCCAATTGGACCAATAGGTGTAGGTCCGATTGGACCCATTGTATTGCCGCCCAACTTCGCTGAACAAATCCAATGCTATATTCAATGCACTGAGAATGGATATCAAAATGGTGGTTGTCTTGGTACAGAGAATGCATGTAATAACCAGTGCTATTGTATTGGTGGTACTCAAGAACAATATTGTCGTGCATGTCCAAATGAGATCGTAAACGCCGATGATTGATCGTTTTGAATTTTTTTCGATTTAATGTCCGCATTTTAAAACAACTCTGAAGAATAAAGTTGTGTGATGATCGATATTTGAATTGAATAGAACACTACGACGGATCTACGTGTATCTCGCTTTTTCGTTTTACCTTTACTTTGGCAGGTAAAGTAAAATAAATTATTTATCGTTTACTTCAGGAATGGTACATGAGTCGTTACTCATTTATGCACAGTATTTGATGCTCACTTCAATGGTATGGTTCAAATCGAACTGTGATATCTACGAATTGAATCAGTCCATTTTTCAGAAAGTCAGTGTGCGATAATTTTAAATTTATTAAGACAAAGGGTAGGTTCGACTTTTAAATTTATTTGGCAGAATGTAACTAGTGCTACGGCCTTGCCAGTGGTGTAGTTTGTTTTCGAAAACAAAGTTATGCAAATTTTAAAATAATAAAAATATGTAAATGGTTTCTATAATTTTTTCCAGGTGGAAAAGAGTATTTTTTTGGCTTAATGGATGGTCGTCAGTAATATCTAATTTCATATTTTAATAGAACATAATAGATTGCATAGGTACACATAGTTTTCTACGCTTCTTCCATCTTGATGGAGAACAGAGGAGAACGCATAACTAAGTATGCTATGTTGTTCCTATAATTTTTTCCAGCACTGTATCAAGAAAGGCAGTTCAATGGCTATTCACAAAACAAATAATATTAGTCAACTACCGCTAATCATAATGAAACATCTCCCATAAATATCTCGGTATCTATCTAATATCAAAGCTTGAGTGGACAGCACACATCAATTACGTTCACAATCACCATAGCAGTGTATGCATTAGAAAACTGGTCACTTTTGCCGCGGTGAACAGAACGCCGAGAAAATTTAGCTCTATGCATAAAATTAAACAAATATGTCGACAGCGTAAATTTTATAATTTGATTTTAACTTTCCTCTGCTGTCGACATAATCTATGCGATTTTTGCCTTATTATTATGGCTCATAGCAACGCTTCGATTAGCGCCATTACGCACCAGTGGCTACACAACATAACAGCCAGCGTATCATATATAGGAAAAGTTAGCGAAATTAGACTATTTCTTAAGCTGCAAATATCAAAACCGGAGTCAGCATGCTCCAGCGCGTAGAATAAGCCCAAAAAAGTGCTTCTTTGACGCGCTTTCAATAAACGCGCGCATATCCGTGAAAACGGCGCTGTCCCCGAAAGATAATGATTTTATTAATTACTTTTTATAAAACATGGGATTCTGGTTCATTAAGACGCCTGACTTGGCGCATAAGTAAACGCTTGAGCGAGGAGCAACTGTTTGGAATTATTTTCTCAATTCTAGTTAAATCATGTTTTACTCGGATTTTTCTTCGAGAACATGGTGTAATCAAGTTCGAGAAACTAAGGAATATAGTGCCCATTAAACAACTGTAATTTTATAATAACTAATAAAAATTAACCTGGAGAGGCGAAATAATCTGGATTTAAACTTGAAAAGATGTTCCATATATAAAACTAGGTTTGCAGTTTTTTCCTTTCAGTTCTGAGCTACCCAGGTGGTTTGTTATGGTTATCGTATACGGCCGTATACGATTCGAATACACCGTCTTTACGGCTGCAAACGATTAAATGCCGACCGTTTACACACCGTATATTGTATTTTACCGTAAACCAGGTCGGTGCTTTACGACCGTGTTTACGGCTTAAATAAGATCATCGTATATGGCCGTAAGTTTTGTCATAAGAACTATGTTATATATATACTAAGTACCATAGCAACATAAATGTTTAGTACCACACATAAATGAGTCATCGATTCTTGCAAGGTCATATAATATCTTATAACAAGAAATCGTATGATCTTGCGGAAAGAAATAAGCATAAATCACATCTCTCAATGGCAGGATCTTGTTACAAGATTTCATAAGATAACGGCAGATCTTGTAAGATGAGTTTCACCTGGAACGGCGTAGTTACATCAGGTATACGGCGGTCGGATACGATGCATTTACGTAGTCCCATAAACAAACAACGTATACGGCACCGTATTATACCGTAATTGAACCGTAATATGGTCACCGTTTCCAGGCCGAAAATCAGCGTAATTTAGCCGAATACGGCTGTTTACGTACCGTATTATTCGACCTGAGTAGTAGCGGGTGTAAAACATTTTTTTATATAGCAGCTATTAAGTTTAAAATGAAATAAATTAGGCTTAAATTGTGTCATGCAGAATTTTTGCAAAAATGAATTTAGACTTCAAGCATCTCTTGTAACCGTCACGGTTTATCACGACAGAAAAAATTAATTTGGGCACATGTAATATGAAAATCTGGATGAGAATGAGATTTAGAATTTTGTTTTTGTGGAATTTCGCTGAAATAATAGATTTGTAAAACTTTTGACTTGTTACATTTTTTTTTGGTGGCATAAATAAACGACGTATAATCGAATTTGATAATTTGTAAATGTTCGGATAACGCCGTACTAATCGACGTTTGATATAATTATTACAATCTGTTATAGACAAACCATTAAAACGAACCACATCATCTCTTCGACGATCTTGTGCTTCTCCACTGTGTGTGTTTAATAATTTTTTTAATTCCGGAACTAATTCGGGGTGCGTTTGATAATACGATTTTCTACCGCGTGGATTATTTTTAAAACGAAATTCTTTTAAATGATTGATTGTTGTAATGGACTTTCCTTTTGTTTCGAATAATAACCATTTACAGCTCGACATAATGAAAAATTGGGGATTTATGAAGTTTATTTAAATGACTTTTGCTTGATGAAGTATTATTGAGTATGGTATGACGTACAAGTTGATAGGCAACTCTTCGTTTTCTCTTCGTATTTATTTGATTCTCTCGTATTACTCTATAGTGTAAGAGCAATTATCCCAGTCTAGTTTCTATTTCAATTTATCTTGTAAAATTTGTATGAGCATATAATAAGCATCTATCTAATTAGATTAAAAGGAACTATGTTCTTGTATACTAATTGATAAACGCAAAAAGAAATAGTATCACAAATTGCCAACTTGTTAGGACAAAAATTAGTAGACACAAATCTATACATACCTGTATCTGTACACAAAATGTATAGATACCCAAAAAAATCTCCGTCCAACTTTTTCTCAAGTTTAGAACAGTATATAATCGTAAAGCTTTATCGGACTTCTCATAATTACCTTCGTAAAACTCTGACTCTTCCACTATTCTTTACACAATATATAATACTGTTCTATTTTTTGAATATTCTACGATTATTATTATTATCGCGCAGTATGTCTCAAGAGATAATGAAAGATCCATTTGATTATTGTGATTCATCATCACTAGCCTCTGACGATGGTCGACCTAATGATCAAATAAACAATAAACTGAATTTATTATTAACTAATATTGAACGCATCGATAAAAACGTTTTAAAATTAAATCAAATAATAGATATGCTAGTATCAAAACAAACAATAATAGAAATAACATTAAGTAGTATAAATGCCGATTATGTAAACACACGAGAAATTATTGATAAAACCGAAACATCATGTTCCAAAATATTAAGTATTATTGAAGAACGAGACTTATCTTATGAGCATGCAATTGCAGATGCAGCACAACAAATTCAAACAGTTACGGAAAAGGTCAGTAATAAGTAACTCATTAGTAGAAATAAATGTTGGTCATCACAAATTCAGTTTTTTCATTTCCCAGTTCACACTAAAGTCCACCGTTAAACTTCAAAGAATACAGCTTTTTTCCTTTCTGTTTGATCTTCTCCATTTTTTTTTGCGTCTATATAGAAAGCTATAAAACGAAAAGAATTTTCTAATTTTGTTATTACATACTATTTTGTAGTTTGATATACAATCTGTCACTTTGCGAAGTTAAAATAAAATGAACTGAAATATCAACTCAAATTATTTTTGTAAAATTTAAGATTGTAACAGATTCAGTTTGAAACACGACACGATTTTTTTTTGTCGTTTAGGCTACCAATCGTCATATTTTTGATCAAGAAAATTATAATCATGAAATTTCTTCGAATTTTGTAACTACAGGTGACAATCATACGTATATATCAGGTGACGTAAACAATGAACCACAAGAAGTAAGTCAAGTTAATTCAATAGCTAAGAAAAATAGATAATAAATTATCGTATGGTTATATTTAGACGGCAGGCAGTGTTTCTATGGTTGTAAAAGCAGCAAATGATATCATCCATGCACCATTTGAACCAACAGTAAATAATAAAAGAAAAACAAGCGAAAATGATTTATTACAAGATATTAATGGTCCAGTACTACAGATGAAAAGCTATTTAATAATTAACAGCATATGCAGTTATCTGATATATAAGTTGCTATAAACTACTGAAGCATTTACTATTTATCGCCAGCGAACACGTTTTTTCTGATTGCCAAACTTTATTTCATCTAGTGAATACTTTTTAAAATTCTACACCAACAAGTAAAATAAAAAGATCACGTACATTGGCACCTATCGTCACATATAATTCTACATCCACACAGCCGCAATTTGGAGTACGTGTTTATGCTTATAAATCCAAAAAAATTGAATTTTCTGTCTAGCTTTTGAACTTTGGCTTTTAGGTGCCAACATTAACAATTACAAATCCAACAACACAAGAAAGTTATCAAGTATATACAGAAAAATACAATCGTGCCAAGAATGCTGCAGAAACTGAATTGTTAACTGGAGAAAAGGGATTTAATCATTTGTTATCTTTTTTATTCGGTGCCATATTTTCTAATGAAGAATTGAGAGAGAGCTCCATTAATGGTACGGTAAAAGGAACAAAATCATTATGCCCACAACGTGTTCATACAATTGACCAACATATGTATAATATTTATGGTCAACGGTATAGCACGTATAGACAAACAAAAAAGTTTAAAGATACCATAAATAAAAAATGTTGTCGATTACGAGGTAGATTATTAGATTGATATTCATCTGTTTTAGCCTAATTTTAATTCGTTTTTGTCTAAATCTTTACTTCTATAAAGAAAAACACGTGATACTATAGTTTCTTCCTGATATTAAGGAAAACATTTTATTCTAAAAAAGCCTAAACAGTATGACAGGAGAATGAACTCAAAATTCATTTCATTCACTTTTTCACATAACATAGGACGGACGTATTCTCTTTCTTCCTTTATAAGTTTCACGTTTTACTATAGTAAAAAACGTGTGCGTGTGAATGATGATTTATCATTCAAATCAGGTTAGACAAAAAAACAATGAAAGATATCAAAACTGGAATTCAAATGGATATAAAGATGATAATTACGAAGATAATCAACGGAACTATACAGAATTAACCACAGCCTCATCATCTAATGCTTTATACCAGAACTATCCACCTTGTTTTAACGAGTACCAAGGTAATTTGTATCAAAACAACGTTAGTGTCTCTCCAAAGAGTCGTAGACCGTACAATAACCCAAGCAGAACTTCGACACCCAAAAGAAGTCAGAGGGAGATGGATAATGATCTATCTTTTGCTGCTAATCAACAGAAAAAATCAAAATACTATAATAAAAATAACAGTAATTCACAAAATTATGATTCAAATAAACAAAGACTACAAGATAATCGACCACAACAATTCAATGATCGTTTAAATCAACGCAGTTCACCAAAATCTTATCAAGTAGGAGAAGATCCGATTTTGAAGCAGGGTCATCAACCTCCTTATAAAGCTTCGAATTATCAAATGCAAGTAGCGGTTACTTCAACAAAAGAATCAAACATAAATCAACTAAATCATCAGAAGTTCCAAATGGATCATTTGAAAAGAGCAGTGACACATAATCTGCCATGTTTTTTTGTTCAGTTTGATTCTAATTTGCAAAGTCGTGATTATCCATCTGCAGTTAAAGCTGGTAATGATATTTATAAACATTTAATCGGGAACAATGTTAAAATAAACAAATTCTCATTAGTCAGTTATGCCGGGAAACAATTGAAATCGGGCGTTAACAATAAAAATGATCTGTATGAATTACATAGAACGGATAAATGGCCGAATACAGTAATGAATAAGAATGTTAAAATAGTGAAACCAAAATCAATTGCGTCACATTTTTCGTTAGTATTAAGATATGTTCCAAATAATATACCTGATGATTTTGTTTTCAGTGAAATAAAGAAGTCGATTAATAGTGCTGAAAAGTGTCACTCAATTGTTTATGCATATGCTAGGACAAAGAAAGATTATCGGTTTAATGTGGGAGACTTAGAGGAGTATCACGAAGCTTTAAACTTGGGAAGTATAGCAGTAGGGAATTATTTACTACCAGTTACGCCTTATTTACCTGCAAATAAACTTACGTACTGTTCCAAGTGTTTCAAATTAGGCCATATCGCTGTCGATTGCCAAAGTCAGTACCCAAGCTGTCGAGTGTGTTTACATATTTTTGACAATAATCATAAAAATCAATGTGACGGAAGATTTAAGTGCGCACAGTGTGGAGGCAATCATTTTTCCCTGGACGGAAATTGCCAGATGGTACAAAACTATCGTTTAGAACTGAATAAGGCGGTCAAACAAGCGATAGAAAAAGGCGAATTAAATTATGATGCTGGTCCACTACGGTTAAAACAAACAAAACAAAATGATTATCGATATGAAGAAAATACATTCCCTTTGTTAGTTAGAAATGATCGATTTGGGGAGAATCATTGGAAAATACAACAAAATAATAATAACCATAACTACGTTGAAAATAAAAAGGATTGGATAGATATATTAACAAAACTAGATACCAAAACAGACCAAATGGTGAATGAAATAGGTTTGATTAACAAAAAACTAGATAAACAAGTTGCAATCAGTAAACGGAATGAAACAAATATAGTTTTGAATAAAGTAATAACGACGGAGTGCATATCAATACTAGTGGGTTTTATCAAGGATATTGGAAAACCAGTAGCTGAATTAGTTACAAATGATAAGGGGGAAATAACAAAAATTATAGATGATTATGCTAAAAAACTACTCAATATCGAAGAACGACTGCGTATGAATTTTCAATTCGAAGATATGCCAATGGGTCCGGATAGAACAACAACAAATGATGAAGTTAATTCTGATATGCCTATGAACAATAACTCATTATTAACAACAATGATACCGAATCAAAATAGAGTAACATCTTCAGTGGAAATAGAAGTAAGAAATGGTCCAGAAGAAAACACGAACATCGTCTCATCAATATAAGAAGTGAATGAACTCGCTTGCGCCTGATTTTTTCCCTGTGGGTTTAAGTAGTCCGCCAGAAAAAGCAATATGCAGATTACAACAGTGTAAAGTACCAGAAAAGATAAGAAAACATGTTATTAGTTTTTTGTCTGAGAGGTTTGCAAGTAGCACATTGGATAATATCTTGAGAGAATGGGAGATTTTTGGTGAAAGAAATAGTAACTCAGTTAAGTGTCAGCAAATACCGCTAAATTTTCTCCTCTTTAATGTCCAGGGATGGAACACTCGAGCTTTGGAAGTTGTGGATCTTATCCACAGCCGAGAGATTTCCTTTTGCATATGCACGGAAGTAGGTCAGCTATGGAAAAATTTCAAAATACCTGAATTTGTGACTTTTCACCAAGAAGGAACTAACCATAGCGGTGGAGTATGCGTCGCGATAGGTAAACATTTAAAGGCAGTTAGAGTTGATGTAAGAATTGCAAACACAGTGGTGGTAGATATAGTGGGATTGTCAGAACCCATACGTGTGATAGGTGTTTACTGGCCAAATAGTCAGGACCGTGATCTTAACGACCTTCTACCATATGTAGTCGGAAATACAGTACTAGGAGGCGATTTTAATACAACCGTAATGGGATGGGGGATTAATCAAAAGACAGATAGTAGAGGATATATTTTGCAAAAATGGGTTGAAAACAATCATCTCTCATTTATCCCGGGTACTTTCAATTCTTCTCGACGATCAGAGCGGAACATAGATTTTCTATTTTCAAATTTTGTTGGTTTAACAGGAGAAGCGTTATGGTATGGGACGAGTGACCATTGGCCGTTGGTATACACATCAAAGGGTATAAGTTTCCAGATCTATGCAAAGTTTTCTCGTGTTTTGTGGAAAGAGTACGAAATTATACTTTGTTTACTTCAAGATTTTTGGTTGGAGGAATATAATAAGGCGTCAGCACTTGAATGGTATAAAAACTATATCCGCTTTTTATCTGCGTTGAAAAGTCGAGCCACAGTGTGGGTGAAACGGGAAAAATTTAAACCTGCTCTACCAGCCAATATTTTAAATAAATTAAAAATAGTTAGAATGTTTCGAAATAGATATTATCATAATAGATATGAAAGAGACAGAATCATTGTTCGACAGCTTTCAAGGGAAGTAAAAAACGAGATTTATAAGTATAGATCGGAAAGGTGGAATGCATTTCTTGGCTCCATTTAGAACAGTCACGGAGTTAAGGAGTCGCCATTTTGATCATACCTCTCGCATATCTATAGGCCAAAAGAGCTGCCTCTTTCTAAATTGATAGTAAATAACGAGGTTGTTTCGGACTTAGGAAAAATAACAGAAGAATTAGGAAAATATTATTCAGAACAGTTCCAAAAAGTAAACATTAATAATAACAACGAAAATGATGTCAAAATTGCAGAGCAATATAAAGAAATTTTAATAAAACTAAATACCTGCAGCGAATCAACTCATCCCGCTTCCGTTCTCGAAGTAAATAAATACATTCGTAATTTAAAATCGAAGAAGTCGTCAGGTCAGGATGGGGTATCAAATTTTATGTTAAAATTACTTCCGCCGATTTATGCAGAATGTCTAACTAGCTGCTTTAATGAGTGGTTAAAAAATAGTGTATTTCTGGAAGAGTGGAAGCTAGCTAAGATGGTTATCTTGAACAAATTGAAGGCAGGAGTTCCATCTTGCGAGCAAACTCGGCCTATTTCCTTGCTAGCAACTCATTCAAAGATTTACGAGAAAATCATTTTGGAAAGAGTGAAACAGTGGGCAGGTTTAAATAACATCATTCCTCCTGAGCAGTCAGGCTTTAGGCAAAACTGCCAGCTACAAACTAGAATTCTCTCCATGCACCAAGAAATCCAAAACAATTTGGCTGGCAACATCCCAACCCTAGCCGTATATTTCGATTACAAAAAAGCTTATGATATGGTGTGGCACGTAGGACTTATAGTTAAGCTTTCTAGATTAGGCATGCCACTGTATCTATTGAAGTTGATTCTATTTTGGCTGCAAGGCAGAAAGGCTTATGTAATTTTAAGTGAGTTCACTTCGAAAACGTTTGTGTTACAGTTGGGTCTACCTCAAGGTAGCTCACTAAGTCCATTTCTTTTTATTATTTTTCATTCAGATTTAGTGTTAAGTGTAGGGGCAAATTCAACACACATTTTCGCGGATGATCTAGCGGTCTTAGTCTCTCCCCCAGTTAGCGTCGATCTACGTGCAATGCTAGACTACTTAAATAGGGAGGGCTCGAAAGTATGTAAGCGAGTTTATGAATACTCTGTCCTTTGGAAACAACCAATTAATTTAACTAAAACAGTCGGACAGTTATTCTATTCGCAAGTAAATGAACCGACCGTGGAAATTAGTTTTAACGGTTGGAAGTTAGAATTAGTGTCGGAGTTTAAATATCTAGGTTTTATTTTGACGAGTAAACTTTCCTTAAAACACACGGTTATGAAATGCCTAGAAAATATAGAAAAATCTTATGCAAAATTGAGATGGTTAAAACGAAACAGACGGATATCTACCAATGTGCTACGTCTCTGCTTTTTTGCTTATTCGTTTCCGTTCTTTATTTGGATTTTCCCTTTTTTTCAACTACTACCCCGCACTCAACAAGAATTGTTCTATAGGAAATATCGTGTAGGCCTCCGCATTATTCATCGATGTTATTTGGTCGAGAAGGACGATCTTTTTAAAGTGGTAGATGAACCTAATCTAGACTTTTACGTCAAAACGTATCTGTCGCGTAGACTCTCTAAAGTATATGAGACCGATTTGTTCTCGTCCTCTTTTTACAATGACTTATTTTTCTGGGAAAGTTTCCAAGAGAGTAAAGTGGGTAAATGTGATCAATTTTTTCGCATGAAACGTGTTAAAAAGATGTTAAATAAACATGTATCTTCTATTGTTAAATGATTAGAGTTCTTAGAGAAAATGTAGGAAAATAAATAGGCTGTTCCTATGTATGTGTATGTGGTATCCTGGTCCTGTCTCTTGTATGTCTTTTAGAAATATGTTTAACTGGTGTTCAGCTTCCATTTTTCTTTTTTGTGTATCTGATGACGCTGTTTTTATTTTCCCTCTTTACAACCTATGTTCATGTACAGTTTTAGAATATTGTTGAAAAGTATTACCCTTTTTGTATGCAAGGATCCTTTCTTTTTTGTGCGGGCGGAGTACCTGTCTATCTATTATTCTTTTTTGCAAGCGCTTCAGAGCGTAGTAACAAATATCGCATAATCCAAAAAAAAAGAAAAAAAAAGGAGAATGAACTATAAAAGAGATGTTCTCTTTTTGCTTTAAATATATTAGCTTGATAAATGAATAATCTTTGAAAACATGGCGGTTAATTGTTTTTGAAGAAGTAGAAACAATTAGAAAAGAAAATCAAACTCAATATACTCTATAAATTATATATAGAAAAAGTAGTATAAAATGAAGTGTTCAATAATAGAGGAACAGTCGCGGAATAGTCGGGGAATAGAGGAATAGCGACCGACCGACCGGAATATATTTTGAAACGCTCCCTAACATCACATTAATGATTAACAGATTTCGCCAGAGCTTTTAATTTTCTGACAGAAATTTTGACTGGGCGACCAATTGTGGGTAAAAACTGGACAGTTATTGAATATGTTACAAATAATTCTATGTGGAAATTGTTGTTCCGCAAAATAATTCACAGTAATTTTTACAGATTTATTTGAACTAGATTATTAGAATAGAAATTGCATGCAGACGCATTGTATGAGTGTTTCTCTTTCGTGTTTACACTTCATTTTCTCTTTAAACGATGAATGATTAACAAATCATATACAACGTTCGAAAGCAGAAAAAATTTTCTCTCACCCGAACCGAAAAGAAATCTTTTGTTCCAGCACGTGTTTTATCGATGTGGAATAGAAATCGCGATTTGTGTCATATGTTAGTATACTGTTCATTTTAACAGTAATTTTTAAATATTTTCAAATCAAGCAAATGAATTCGTCCGATCAAGGAGTTGTTAAGTTATAGTCATTTAATTTTTCAAGTTATTATTCGGTCTATTTACTTATGTATGTTCATATCATATTAAATTCATTTTTTACCGTTGCCATTTAACAGAATGAGCTTCTTTCCTGTTCAATAATACGTCCACTGGATTCGTTCCCTCAGATTTGCCCCGGTCGTGTGAATATCGCAACAGGGATGGCGGGCACTTCGAGCGAGCCGCGACTGTTATCTATCCAGTAGATGTTCCATTTTTTCGTTGCCGGATAGAAGACCTGCAGTGGTATCCCTAATGAATAGAGGGTTGTTTTGTCTTCCTTTAGATGGCAATGCGTCTAGCCGTCACATCAGTCGCGAAGTGCAGTAGTACTCCGGTAAGTGTAAAACGAATCAAGTGCCGCAACATTCCTGTAGGTGGTTGATACTACTGCGTTTTTCTAGCGATCCATTGCAAGTCCTTGCAAAGTCTTCTAATTGTGCACATGATCAGATCAATGAGCTCCATATTTCAAACATTTGTTTTATTTATGGCTGACACTGACAAGCAAAGAAGGATCCTGAATATGGCTACCACCGGCTATTCTAGGAGCGACCCACCGCACTACCATCCAGAAATACGGACGTTTAGCCTTGAGTCACAGTTCATCGCAACCTACTTCAGAACTTGAGTTATCTGGTCGGAACCTAGTGTCCAAACGACAATAACATCTTATTGACACTTCTGTAAGTGGCAATTGCCATTCCGTTAAATATTTTGATTTTCTTTTTACCCTTTCAGAATATTTTGTCTTTTGTGATTTTTAGAATCCATCGCTTTCTATATATTATTAATATTTCTTACATTCAATGATATTACTAATTTGATCTCTTCATTTCAGATCTCGCCAACTTCGAATTCTATCTTGAGTATTGCCATTAAGATTCAAAATCTATATTTACCACATCTTCTTTAACCTCTTTTTATTGGATATCTAGTTAATAGAATGATTATACATCGATTTATATATTGTATTATCTCGTTTTTATTAATTCAAATGATTGTTTATGTAAATTCCAAAGGATATTGGAATAAACTCATTTATAATGATAATTCTTGTTTAAAAACATCAACTCCTATAAATAATGATTCATTCTCTGTATTTATAATGATTAAAGATCGATTCTCTTATAAAGAAACATTAAAAAGTTATATTAATATTTTATACGATAATTCAAAACAATTAAAAGAACAACCAGAATTAGTATTATTTGATTTTAATAGTCGTATTCCTGTGCAAATTCCTTCACCACACAATAATATATCTCAATATCCTAATATTAAATTGATTCGATTTGAATGTTTAATTCCTTGTATTTCTAAAGATCAAACCTGTGATTTATGTCCTTATCCTTATTCTTATTTTAATTATTGGATTGCATTAGCTTTATCTGTATGTCATCTTAAATACGATCGAATTATGCATTTTGAAAATGATTTGTATCCAACTAATCCTTTTAATTTATATAATTATAGAGGTCCACAAAGTTGGACATTTCGAACTCATGATAAATATTATACTTTTAGTTTTTCAACATCTCGTAAAATTTTAATCGAATTTTTATATGTATTACCTGATTTTCTAGTAGAAGATCCACATTCTTCTTTAGGTTCTGATCAACTTTTTATATATTATTCGAATCTTACAAGATGTCCAGAATATCTGACACATCTTGAACATGAAGGAGGAATGAAGGATAGTGAACCTTTTAAATCACGTATACGAAGTCAATGGCGATTATATTTATATTTACAACGATATGGTAATCCTTCTGGAGGAAATATTCGAAAAGGTGGTATTGGAGGAAATAATCAAGGATACTATTGTAGTGATAAAACTATCACTTGCAATTTTAAATTTCGTAGATTTACTAGCCTTTGGGGTATATATCATATAATCGATATGATACTTGAATCTGATATATTATGGATTTTTGTTTTTTTTACATTCAATCAGTCAACAATAGTATTGCGTTATATATTTATATTGTGTTTTATAATGATAATTGTTTCATTATATGGATTTGGGCGTAAATTTACAAAAAGGTTATTTTCGATATCTACAAGGTGGATGAAGGGGAAATGGTGGTGAAAGATTAGTGCGGTAGGGGATATATAATGGTTCAAAAGAGAAACACCCTGTGTATGATGTGTACTTATTGCTCTACCGGCCAATATGTGAATTCTTCGTCAGAATTTTAACTGATTCTGATCAAACGTATGCAGAAACCAACCCAATGGGTTAAACATTAAATTATTTAAATCGACATGTGCATTATATTCATTGTAATGGATTTTGAAATGAATTTTTTGTTATTGTATGACGGCGGTGTCTATAATAGTAGTTTTGTTGAATAAATATTGCTAAATTTACTCCCTATTAAACTAATGTCTGGTTACGATATTACTTTGATTACATTGATTAAGTGATGATATTACTTTTGAGGGTATTGGAATTTCGACGATGTTGTCAGAACTTCAATAATTTTCGGAATTTCGACAATGCTGTCAAAATTTCAAAATAATTTCTAAATTCGCAGAAATTCCGCTGCAATTTCGACGTGTCAAAATTCCGAAGCAGAAATTCCAAAAGCAGATCGGCGAGTTTACCTTGAACGCAAGAATAATGTTGCTAAAGCGAAGGAAGGATCGCATGACGAAGCGTTAATCTCTTATACTTCGAATATTGAAATCCAAACGATTATTAATGCTGCATTTACCGGCGAAACTGAATCATAGTTCTTACTTTTCCAATTATTTTCAATAGTTCATTACGATATCCACGTGTACTCATTGTATAGACATAAAAACTTGACGATGAATTAAAATTAACAATAAGAAGGCACAAATTTAATATGTAATAGAATTCAATAGGAAGATATGGATTATAAATAACATAAAGATAGATGCCTGCATATGGTAAAGTAAATATAAGATTTGTAATTACAAAAACAAATAACATTTTTACTAATTTGTGCTCAATTTTCCGCCGACGAACTGACGAAGTTTCGCCAGTGTTAATTGTTATAACACGCTGGTGCTGCTGTTTCATATTCCATATTGTCAATAGGCAAAATAAACACATTAATACAGGTGGAAGAAAACATAGATATACGAGAACAAAAAGAGCCGAAAACTGATAATCTTGCATTGTACTTCCTGGGGAACAGACTGGTCCGGATGGTGAAGGAAAGGTAATAATAGTATAATTCAACAGTACGTGTAAATACGCTATTAAATTAACAATGACTGTTAACGTTGTTGAGTAATAGGCTATTTGCAGTTGGGCGAATTTTCTTAATCTTGAATTTGTTGAACTTGTGCAAAACCGATCAGCACATGCAAGAACAGTAAAATAACGACCAAGCGTATAGAAAATGAAGACAAAATAATTTCGTGTTTTACAATAAAACTGAGAGTAGGTGGTTGCGTCGATCTTATACTGATCGGATAACCATTGTAGGAGAGTAATAAAATAAATTACAAATAAATCATTGATTGATACACAAAGAAAGTAGAATGCACAAGATGATGAACATAACGGCTTTTGTGTCAGTATAACTATGTTACACACACAACCAACCGTACCAAGGACAATAATTAACGGCTGAGTGTACAAACTAAACACATTGTAAACGAACAATAATCCACTAGATGGATAGAAAAACGATGCTGAAGAATTGGACGAATTGGGAAACAGTACTACTGATGAAGAATTCATTCTTGGCTTTTTGAATGACAAACACACTAGCAGTAAGTAACAAAAATTCTTACTAAAGTTAGATTTTTATATAGTTCATCTAAATATTCCATCAAGCATATTATCATTAATATTAATAGACAATTTTTGTTCTGCATGCATTGATACGGATAATTGTTATGAAAAAGGCATGCACGGGATTTCAGATGGAAAACAGGAAAGAAATTGTGTTCAAAACTTATACTTAAGACACGTTTTTAAATATCTTCGGGTGTACAATGTTTTCCGTACCCAAGCAAACATTACCTATGGGGAAATTCTAGATACATTTCGTCTGTAATCGGGTTATACATGACTAGTTGTCATGTAGATTACTAGTTGTCGTCTAGATTACTAGTTGTCATCTAGATTACTAGTTGTCATCTAGATTACTAGATGGAAAAGGACTTTTAACTAGATACGTCTACATGTGTAACTAGCAATAGTTAAATCGATCGATTATCGGTCGATAAATTGATAGCCGAAACTAGTAGAAATCTAGCAATCGAGCGATTGCTAGATTTCTCCTGTTGTTACAAAATAGTTGCAATCGAGTAAAAATCTAGTAACCTAGAGGAATTGGGCGATTTTTTTGACACTTGGATACTTACGATATAAACTCAAAGTGTGCGTTCAAATTTAATTTACTTTGTTTTTTTTCCTTTGAAACCCCATACGTGTTCTTTTCATCATGATTATCCATATCAGGGAACATTGTTTTTCTGAATGAAAGATTTTTACTTACATCAGAGAAGCCGTTAATAGCAACTGAATGCGTAGGACGTAGAAGTAGACTATATTCTACTCATAGATATGAATAAATACGCTTCTCTTTCCTTTATTTTTTGCTTATTTTGCAGAAAGACAAAATCTGATATACCCAAGCCAGGGTTGTCACGGTCGTAAAGGATTAACCGATCAGACTCCGTCATTTTACATGGAGGCACAATAGAACCTCCATAACGGTCTCCGTATACAATCATTGACGCTAGACATCGAAACTTATATGAGAATCTTATAAATACCTTGTTAGAATTTTGTAAGGTTCTTACAGGATTTTTATCAGATTCTTATGAAAATCTTATATAAGATTCCCTAGATAAGTGATAAGTTTTTAAGATTTCGATAAGATATCAGTAAGAATTTGATAAGAAACCAATAAGAATTCTGTTGAACTCTTACTGGAATCCAGAAAAATCAGAGACGTCTATGAGCTGAAGGATAGTGTATTGTACGAAAGGCTAAAGTGAAGTCTTTCGTTGTTGTTCTAAGATATTGTGGTCTATTTTATTTTTGAGAATATCTAGACATTATAGTTTCTTGATACTCTAGATTTTTCGTGAGAATGAGAGAGAAATTTATATCTTCAAGAGCATAGTAGTTTTTATGAATATACAAGAAAAGGGAATTGTGCGTACAAAAAAGATTGCGTGTGTATGCAGATTTGAACCGCAGGCCTTATTCACAGGAATGGTCGAGATAACGAATAAGGTCGCACAATCGTTTGTGAACAGGGAGAACCGGGTGGGGTGAGCATGAGGGTGAAAGGATGAATGCCTGAAATGACGAAAAGATGGAAAGCTGGACGGATAAAAAGTTCCAGAAACGCATATAAGGTGCTTGGTGGTTTTTATTATTTTCGAAAAGTACAGAAGCTAAAAGATAAATAGGTCTAGAGAAGTTTTGAAACTTTTGACAGTATTCCAAAACAGCATATTCTCTCAGCCCTCAGAAAAATAATTAAATTACTGATTAAGGTTCTTTTAGGAGCAATTGTTATTTGTTCAAAGTACTTCCTTCCTTTACTACGATATTTTTTATTTTTTTTATGTTATGATTCAAGTCTGTGATTATTTATGTTCTTAGTCTGTAACTATTTGTGTTGCAATTTACAATGTATTCAAAACAAGTAACGATCGCTAGCTCACTAACTCTCCACTGAAGGCTCGGAGCCGCTCAGCTAGTGGTGTGGTGGCGCCTGTCTCTGCACATTCGAGGGAAAGTAAGGATCCAGTAGGTAGGGCGTATACAACGTCTGTTGTCCAGTGTAAGCGCTGACTCACACTGCTAAGAATTTGAGAAGAAAATTTTCTTGGTTTTGTTTTCTACAATGTCATATTGGAAGTATTGTAGTCGGGAAACAAAATGGTGAATATATTATGCGCACAGAAACGAAAAACAAAGAAGTGCGCATTGGTGTAGGTGGAGGTGAGAGTACACGACTGAGACGAAGTATTGATGCTCTCATGCCATTCATACTTGAAGTTGATTCTAATTTTTCTAATGACAAAATAAAATCATGATGATTTCGACTTATCTGTTACCAAATTGGTAGGCCATGTTCAGAGTCAATATCAGTTATCAAATAAAAATTGGAATTTTGTATCGGGTTTTGTGTTTGTTTAACGTAACTGTTATAATTAATTAAGAGCAGATGATACTTCATCATTGTCATGGCTATCCAATTGTTCTAAAGTAAAGAAAACTACATGCATAGAAGATAAGTGAAACTTTGAAAAAAAATTAAGCGTTTTACCATGTTGTTCCAATTTTTTGTTTCTTTTTCGTCTTCTTCTTCTTTTTATAAAACTGGTATTATTAAAGACAACAGTGGTATGATCTTTCGACGTTTTGTCATTGATTGATGAGCATGGTGCGAAAGAATGAGATGGTTTAGGTCGTCTGTGCACATGTATGCACAAAATTGGTAGGGGGTGAGAAGGACTGGGGCTTAACAGTAACAATCATTGTTAGATTAGATTTCTGCAATTTTTTCTACTGACACTATCGACTGTTGACTGTTTGTACTGATAGGTTCTTCAAAAATAATCAAATTAATTTCTACTTTCACTTCAAAATAATTATTTAATTGTTATAGAATTGAATATGATTCCATTAATTCACAATCAACTTTTTTCGAGTTTATGGACAAAGTTAAGAATAAAAGTTTTAAAACCAATGTGGCTATCATGTTAAGAATTTTAATAAAATAATAAAATCCTGTACTAAGAGAAACTTGAAAATGACCGTATTAATAGGTCAAAATATCGAATTATAATTTTAATGTTTTAGTTTTAATTGTTTAATTTTTATCGACATACTTGTTGGATACCAGGCATTAGATCTTGCGGTGCATTACCCGAATTTACTAGATTTAATGATTCACTTACACTGGTACCTTAAAAGATAAAGCAAATGATCAATTAGTAATGTAATAAAGTCCTTAAACGTATCTGGTTCCAGTATATCAGCATATAAATCGAATTCCATTTCATCCGTATTATCATTATTTATTGAAAAACATTGGAGAACGACGATGATTGCACATTTGGAATAACGTTGATTAAATCTAAAGATGAAATTTAAAAAGTATGCAAAAGTTCTTCTATTTAAATAGAAACATCAAAGGTTGTTCAGAATAGTATGTAGCATAAGCAAGGAGTTACAGTTAGCTCGGAATCGTATAGCTAGGGTGTGGTAAGCTTGCCAAATCGAATAGTTATAGTACGGGTTATTTTTTTGCCACCGTTCACAGGGTTCAAAAGTCAGATTTGGTTGTATGTTTGTCAGCCAGAGCAAAAGTATCGGAATAAAATATCAAAGAAGAAAACTTTACAAATATGTCCAAACAATACTCTACAAATATATGCAAACAATGCTTTACGGAAATATACAAAACTTTACAAATATGTCGAAACTATACTGTGCAAATATATACAAACATTTTTAAGAGAAATGTACAGATCGAAAAAAATTAATTGGCGCAAAGTCAAATGCTGTGGTGCACATATCTAATTGGAGTGCAATGAGGGGAGCGCCAATACAAGGGTACGTGAGTAGAAGAGATACATCAGACACGTCGAGGCTCTTTCGGGAGTCCTGCAATACCAGATAGCAAACATTCTTCAGAAGACCTAAACCGTTGCTGTACGTCTTTTGCGTTGATAGATACCGAGAGCCTTTTGAGAGTCTGTCGATATCCACCGTTTTGCGTCCAACGTGAGCAACGGATAAAGATCTTCATTCGTAATGTTTGGTCCAGCATGTGCAGGTCTTGTGATTGAACCCATTTTTATAGCTGAACGATTGCAATTAGCTACAGCCGCCGCAAGTACTTCATAAATGTCAAGAACAGCTGCTACTGTTGATGGGTTTATCGTAAATAAAACGATGAAAAGATCAACAGCAGAACCGTTCTCGTTTGAAGCAAATGCAGCAATGTATTGAGTAGCTAACTGCGAATTTTCAGCCATAAAATGTTCGCCGTGTTGTTTAGAGAGATTTGCACGAAGATTAGATATTTGCGCTACAACATTTGATTGAGCCGGAATTTTTCTGTTATCAGTCCAAACGATTCTAATCACATTGATTTTGTCTTTTCTTTTTTTATTCGATTTTTATTTGAGAGATTTTTTCACCATAAAATTCACACGAAAGCTATTTACATTGATGGAAGTTTTTGTTAATATTTGATCAATGTTCGTTGTGGCTGCTAAATGGAAGAAAGCAAGATTTTTTTTGATTTAGTACTACAGCGAGTTTTGTAAAATGTGTGAACAAAACTTATGCATTACTTGGTTCATTTTCCTGTCTGCTATCCTGTTCGTGCTCAGAATTACTCGGATATACAACGAATGGTGCCACAGTTGATGACAGGTCTATCTCAGACGCTGGTGGAAATAATGCGTTCTAATATTCTTGCGCCAGACTATCAATCAGACACTGAATCTGGTCATGTTGATTTCGAATTGACGCTAAAAAGCATGAGCACATAAAATATAACAAACCACAAAGAATACCTCATAAAATTTTCGTACGTACCAGAAAGATCTGGAATTTCGCTTGGAAACAGCATATCTGTGGAATGTCCACATCCATAATCCACACTTGTGGCATAGGCACTAGATCGTGCTGTGGTACATAATTCGGATTTAACAGATTAAATATTTCAATTACCCTGGTGCCTTAAAAAATGAAGCAAATGATCAACCAATAATGTAATGAAATATTCAAACGTACCTTGCTCCAGTACACCAGTACGTAAAACTAATTCAATTCCATCCATAGCGTTAACAGGAGTATCCATTTGAAAGAAACCCAAAGAACATAAACTATTCGAACACATTATTTATCTACCAAAACGAATAACATTCATTCAGACTGAAAATCCCAATTTTGAACGGATATAGCCTAGTTTGACATGCTCGATGTCCTGATTAAAAGTATGCGAATCTTTTTTTCTCCATACGACTTTTTTCAGAAGTTACAAGGATTTTAGTCCACAACCAAGTGATTCTATTTATGCCATAAATATATATCCTGTACCCATTCTTACTCATTATCCATTCTTGTCGATTGTATGATCAGACTCGCCGCAGTTCGTTGTGTCCATAGAATGTTGGATTGTTCAATACAGAGCCCAACAAAATGGGGTGTTGCACAAGAGAGTTTTGTCTTATTTCATCCAATCGTGCTGCAGAAAAACTAATGAAGCTCACAGCAGTGTCAAGTTCCACAGTTCCGTGGAAATTCCTGCAGAATTCTACCGCACATTCAACCCTACACTGTGACCAAGATTCTGTCCAGAATTTGGTCAAATTCTACTAGAATTCTCTCCATACTCTCTATCAAACTGCGACACGTCTTACGAATTGGCAGATTCTGCTGTGATTCTGCCAGAATCTGGTCCAATTCTGGTTAGATTCTGATAGAATTAGATGTAGAATTAGAATGTCTGATTCTGCGTGTGATCTGTGTGTGAAACAGAAGATAGTGGATTCTGGTTGACTTCTCGTAGAATTCCATCAGATTCTGCCAGAATCACAGTAGAATCGAGCAGAATGTGCTAATTCGTAGAGTGTATCTGTGTGTGTAACAGAATACAGTAGATTCTGGTTGACTTCTCGTAGAATTGCACCAGATTGTGCCAGAATCACAGTAGAATCGAGCAGAATGTGCCCAATCATAGAGTGTATCTGTGTGTGTAACAGAATGTGGTGCATTCTGGTTGAGTTCTAGTAGAATTGCACGAGATGGTGCCAGAATCACAGCAGAATTGAGCAGAATCTGCCAATTCGTAGAGACTATCTGTGTGTGAAATAGAATCTAGTGGATTCTGGTAGAATTGCACCAGATTCTGCCAGAATCACAGCAGAATCGAGCAGAATGTGCCAATTCGTAGATTCTGGTGCAGTGGATTCTGGTTGAGTGCTGGTAGAATTGCACCAGATTCTTTCAGATGGGCTGCGTAATTGAGCAGAATCTGCGGCATCCTAGAGATTGTGTCAGTCGCAGGTTGTTGATTTTGAATTCTGCTGGAGTTCTGGAGTTTCCACAGAACTGTGGAAGTTGACACCACTCAGATTTTCTAGAAAATCGTGAGTTTTGGCCCATGGGTTTTTAACAATTCTTTTTCCGAATAATATTTTTCACTTAAAAGTTTTTCCATTAATGCAGTTTTGTAGATAATTCTTTAGGCTACAATTTATGAAAAAAGTTTTAAAAAACTTCCTTCCACGATTTTAAAGTGTACATTTAAATTTATAAAATTTAGACGTTGTCATTTGAACGGAAATATCTAAGGTTCTTCAGAATAGCATGTAGGATAAGCAGATCATTCATATCAAAATATCATGGTTTTTTTCTGGAGAAGCGACCCTCGAGATTTTTACATATTCGGAATCAGCGCGACGAGTTACGTTGTACGGCGCAAAGATCTCGTCGGGGTCCCGATACTTTTTGGACTCGGATTCTCCACTGTGGATTTTCACGGTATATTACACTAAACCCCCCCCCCCATAATAGAAGCCTCCGGGGCTTCTAAACTGTCCAAGTGTTCAAAATTTTTAGGGGGGGCTTGTATTATGAAGGGGCTACTATTACGACTTTCGTACAAAAATTTT